TTTCTGTATCTATCTTAGTCTTCTTTCTTATGTAATCTGCAATCAACAGACAATACAGCCGTAAACAGATTTCCCCAGAGATTGAGCCGCAAACTGATGTTGGCATAAAGTAAAACCGTAAACAAATATCACCAGAGATCATAGCTGTAAACAGATATCAACAAAGAATAGAGGCTAAATAGATTTTAACAGAAATCACAACCGTGAACAGATATCACCAGATATCCAAAGCTGTAAACAGATATCAACAAAGTTTACAGCCTTAACATATATCAGCAGAGATTACATGTGTAAACAGACATGAGCTGAGAGTATAGCCATGAACAGATATCAGTACAGCTAAAAACAAAAATCAACAGAGAGTGCAGCCATAAACAGATATCAACAGAGAGTACAGTCGTAAAAAGCTATCAACAGAGAGTACAATCAAAAACGGATATCAACAGAGAGTTCAGCCATAAACAGATATCAACAGAGAGTATATACATAAAAAGATATCAACAAAGAGTACAATCGTAAAGGGATATCAACAATGAATACAGCCATAAACATATATTAACAGAGAGCACAGTCGTGAACAGATATTAGCAGATAGCACAAGAGTGAAAGAGCCATAAACAGATATCAACAGAGAGCCCAAGAGTGATATGGCAAAAAACGAATATCAACAGAGAGCAAAACCGTAAACAGATATCAAGAGAGAGCACCGCCGTAAACAGATATCAAGAGAGAGCACTGCTGTAAACAGATATCAAGAGAGAGCACTGTTGTAAACAGATATCAAGAGAGAGCACCGCCGTAAACAGATATCAAGAGAGAGCACTGCTGTAAACAGATATCAAGAGAGAGCACTGTTGTAAACAGATATCAAGAGAGAGCACTGCTGTAAACAGATATCAAGAGAGAGCACTGCTGTAAACAGATATCAAGAGAGAGCACTGCTGTAAACAGATATCAAGAGAGAGCACTGTTGTGAACAGATATCAAGAGAGAGCACTGCTGTAAACAGATATCAAGAGAGAGCACTGCAGTAAACAGATATCAAGAGAGAGCACTGCAGTAAACAGATATCAAGAGAGAGCACCGCCGTAAACAGATATCAAGAGAGAGCACTGCTGTAAACATATATCAAGAGAGAGCACTGCTGTAAACAGATATCAAGAGAGAGCACTGCAGTAAACAGATGTCAAGAGAGAGCACTGCTGTAAACAGATATCAAGAGAGAGCACTGTTGTAAACAGATATCAAGAGAGAGCACCGCCGTAAACAGATATCAAGAGAGAGCACTGCTGTAAACAGATAACAGCAGACAGTACAACCATAGACATGTATCCTAAAAAAGAATAATCGCAAACAGAGGTCAGCAGACACTGTCACATTAAACAGGTGACAGTGCGATATTGGATCCCTGCAACTGAGACGTCTTGTCAGCTTGTAGTTTCCCTATGAAACGTCCTATATCGGTTTCTGATGGCTGTATTCTCCTGAACTGACAGACTCATGTAATCTAAACCGTCCTGTAATTATATTAATTGTCACTAACGTTCCTCTCACGTGCAACACATCAAATTAATCATTGTCCCTGGTGTCGCGTTAAAGCTACCGCTAGACACTACAACTTTTAATGTCAATAAGATTACTCAGAATTGGACGACTGTTTCGCTTTGGCCACTTTTAATGTAAGAAACATCAACAACACAACAACAACAACAACAACAACAACAACGTCCAGGCACACACAACAAAACAAAGAACTCTCATATACAACAAGACGAAAGTGAGGGGAAAAAAACGTTCATACCAAAAAAGCAAAAACAAAAAAAACACAGTAGCAAACACTAAAGGCTGTAATGTTGCCTCCGACCAGCCATGTCTGCCATTTTCCCCCCAAAAAAACTGGAATTTGCAAGACAGCTTTCATAACAAGCCTGTTAAAGAGATTTTTACTTAACAATTTTTCATAACAGTGTCCCAGTAGATTTTACGAAAACGAGAAAAGTTGACGCACAACAATTCTTAAAGCTAGCCTGATACAAAAAAACTGTCTCTGACAAGTGTGATATTAAATATTACATCAAATGCCACATTTACATTTTCCATAACACACGTAACACGTTTACACAACTGACTTGATTCCAAGCTTTCCATAATGAATGTGAATGTGTAAAGCCTGATACAAAAAACTGTCTCTGACAAGTGTGATATCAAATATTACAGCAAATGCCACATTTACATTTTCCATAATACATGTAACACGTTTACCCAACTGACTTGATTCCAAGCTTTCCATAATGAATGTGAATGTGTAAAGCCTGATACAAAAAACTGTCTCTGACAAGTGTGATATCAAATATTACAGCAAATGCCACATTTACATTTTCCATAATACATGTAACACGTTTACCCAACTGACTGGATTCCAAGCTTTCTATAATGAATGTGAATGTGTAAAGCCTGATACAAAAAAAACAACTCTCTGACAAGTGTGATATCAAATATTACAGCAAATGCCACATTTACATTTTCCATAATACATATAACACGTTTACACAACTGACTTGATTCCAAGCTTTCCATAATGAATGTGAATGTGTGAAGGTTCAGTAACAGTTAGACCCCTACTGCGCTTTCTCCCCTGTGGAGTTTTTACTTATTATGGCGAGGAAACAAACTTTACACACACTAAAACGTCTCACTAAAAGCAATCCTTTACGTTCCACAACAAGGGTGAAAACAAATTTGCTATAACCAACGTGCCACTAAACATTTATTTTAATAAAAGGAGACATTAAACTTTTAAAAGTGTAGTTATGCCTACACCAACACCACCTCTACAAGAAATTCATTGTTTATACAGAGATGTTTGTGTCCTCTACAAGAAATTCATTGTTTATACAGAGATGTTTGTGTCCTCTACAAGAAATTCATTGTTTATACAGAGATCTATTGTCAGTTCTCGGGAAGAATTCGTTTCATATAGTTACTAAAGTTAAAGACCCATTTCACGTTCGTGGCGGGTCGAACGTATGGTTCTGGATACATATTTGTGAATACCGATGGGCACTCAGTGGCTGGTGTTGTCAACAATATACCGACCGCCTTTACTTCCTGGGAGATTTCCTGATACTCGTTTTACACTGGACCGACATGGAACCCGAGGTCACTTTTACGTATGAGAATTCAAACCCAAGATATTCGAACAAGAAGGCAAATGTCCAGAAGCTGCGGTATGGAGGTGCTACCGCCATTTACACGGTTACTGAGTACTCATACCCAACGGTTACTGAGTACTTACACCCAACGGTTACTGAGTACTTACACCCAACGGTTACTGAGTAATTACACCCAACGATTACTGAGTACTCACACCCAACGGTTACTGAGTACTCATACCAAACGGTTACTGAGTACTTACACCCAACGGTTATTGAGTACTTACACCCAACGGTTATTGAGTACTTACACCCAACGGTTACTGAGTACTCACACCCAACAGTTACTGAGTACTCACACCCAACGGTTACTGAGTACTCACACCCAACGGTTATTGAGTACTCATACCCAACGGTTACTGAGTACTCACACGCAACGGTTAATGAGTACTCACACGCAACGGTTACTGAGTACTCACATCCAACGGTTACTGAGTACCCCACACCCAACGGTTACTGAGTACTCACACCCAACGGTTACTGAGTACTTACACCCAACGGTTATTGAGTACTTACACCCAACGGTTACTGAGTACTCACACCCAACGGTTACTGAGTACTTACACCCAACGGTTATTGAGTACTTACACCCAACGGTTACTGAGTACTCACACCCAACGGTTACTGAGTACTCATACCCAACGGTTACTGAGTACTCACACGCAACGGTTACTGAGTACTCACATCTAACGGTTACTGAGTACTCACACCCAACGGTTACTGAGTACTCACACCTTATGGTTATTGAGTACTCACACCCAACGGTTACTGAGTATTCACACCCAACGGTTACTGAGTACTCACACCCAACGGTTACTGAGTACTCACACCCAACGGTTACTGAGTACTCATACCCAACGGTTACTGAGTACTTACACCCAACGGTTACTGAGTACTCACACCCAACGGTTACTGAGTACTCACACCCAACGGTTACTGAGTACTCACACCCAACGGTTACTGAGAACTCACACCCAACGGTTACTGAGTACTTACACCCAACGGTTACTGAGTACTCACACCCAACGGTTACTGAGTACTCACACCCAACGTTTACTGAGTACTCACACCAAACGGTTACTGAGTAACAGATTTTTTAAAGTTGGACAGGACTTTTGGAGCGGAGTATAACCTTATAAACTAATCAGCATTTGAGGGCTGATGTGATCAGCATTATCTCGATCGCCTTTACTTCCCAAAACAGTGCCTTGTACCTAAGGAACTCTAGACCTTCGAGTCAGCAGACTCGCTGCGCTACCGTAAATAGAGAGACTTATTGTGCTTTAAGAGAAAGTTTTGGTGCCTGTGTTAACTTACCTTTTTCCCGACATTGAAGCTGACTAGGTCTGCCTGTCCAGTCATGTATTTCTCCCTCTTGACCCTACCATTTAAGCTTTAAATGGAGCATAGGCTCTCAACCAGTTCACATTCAGTGCTCCCATCATATGCCAGCTGTTGCAGATGATTCCTACCCTCTCGACATTTTTTGCTGTCTCTAATTCTCTTTACCGGGTGTTGTTATCTCTAATTACTTCTTTCTCCCTGCTGATTCCAGTGCAATTATATTCTGTTATTTCCTAGCTAAAAGGAGGTAACTGGCAAATCTGGCTTGACTTTTTTTTTCTTTAACGTTCTCTAGTCCTTAGACTAACTCTGTCGTTAGTTGCCTCTTAAGACATCTCTAGTAGGATGCAACCTTACCGCGGTGTGCTTCCCTTAAGGGCCCCAGTAACACACAGTGCTGTGATTGCGTGTTTAACGTGGGTTTTAATCTTGTTTCTCCTGCAGCAGCCACGACGTCTGAGCTCTGGATCCATCACTAGCGATGCTGAGAGTGAGAGCACCGAACCCGACCCCCCTGTGGTGCGCCGAGGACGTCGTGCAGCCATCTACGAAACTAAGGTCAGTCTGACTTTTCTACAATTCCACCTGTTGTAGAGATTGGTAGAGATTAGAACGCATGACCATTAAGGAGGCGGGCACACGTGCTAGCCACACAGTTACCACAGCTTCTGGTTAGTCTATATCAGTATACAGACCAGTAGTTCAAGCATCTGTAGCAGTTACTAAGTGTTTGGTGGACAAATATGAAGTCTCTCTCTCTCTCTCTCTCTCTCTCTCTCTCTTTCTCTCTCTATCTCTTTCTCTCTCTCTCTTTCTCTCTCTCTCTTCTCTCTCTCTCTCTCTCTCTCTCTCTCTCTCTCTCTCTCTCTCTTTCTCGTTGTCTCTCTCTTTCTCTCTCTCTCACTCTCACTCTCTCTCTCTCTCTTTTGTCTCTTTTTTCCCTCTATTTGTCTCCACACACTTTGCTTTGTAATCAGAGTGCAATGACCCGCATCTTGCAGACATTTGAGATTGCAAAGATTGTCGCGGGCTGGTTGTTGATTGCGAAAACATGTTGTGATTGTTTTATGGCGTTTTATGTAATCCAGATTATAAGTTTTGTTTGAATAAAGCAGTGACCGAGTCACCCATTGGCTCGCTGAGAGACGATTTCGTCGTTTGTCAGGACAGTATTTGGGTCTGTCTTCTGTGATCGCATCAACCCTGCAGAAGTCCTTTTTAGGGATCTAGGTGGCGTGTAACACTAAGCCATTTTATGTAGCGCACATAATCTAGTCACAATTATAACCTAAAGCTGCCCCTTAGGAGATGTTGGTTGAAGGTGACAATGTTTGTTTCGCAAAGCACCACAACTATGTTTAAACGTCAGAAAGAGAGATGGGAGGACAGACTGCAAACAGGTGGATGGCTGGATAGACAGACAGACAGAGGAAATGAGCAGTCAGACAGATTAGTGGGTGGGCGGGTCGGTAGATAGGCACCTGGCGGGTGTAAGTATGGTGGATAGATTTGAGTGAATTTGCAGTGATAGACTGATGGACGAAAAATCCCACAGGGGAGTAAATAGATGTTTATGTCAATGAATTATATTAAAGCGCCCACACGCACACCGTACACTGAACACTCGCTACACAGCAAACAACATGGCTGCAAACACACATAAACAACCCACACACACACACACACACACACACACACACACACACACACAACGCAAACAATTTCCACAAATTCATAAAACATCATAACTTCAATAGCACTTAGCATATATATGACAAATAACACATCCCACAAGCACTATTTAGTACAACAAACACACACACATACATACATGCCTACTCACACAACACAGATATTTACACGACAAGCACACACACTTACACAACACAGACACACCACAGACACTTTCACAACACAAACACTTAGACAAAACAAACACACTAAAGACACTTACACAACACACACATCACAGACACTTCCGCAACACGCACAACACAGACACTCACACAACACACACACACACACACACAGACACTTCCGCAACACACACAACACATACACTATTGCAAAACACTCAACACAGACACTTACACAACACCCACACACCATTTCCGGCACCATGTAGAGACTTATGGCTTATCTTTCAAGTTTATACAAATTTATTTTAATATATGACTATATTTTGTTTTGACATTCAGATAACAGTATTGTTTTGACGCACTTAAACAAGGTTAAACCAGATGAGCCCCACCCCTCCCCAAACACTTGTAAGAGGATTGAAGAATCCCCCAACCTCTAATATTTTCTATGTGTCGGTGCCTCTTTAACTTAAAATGTTTTAACACAAGTTCAATTCAAACATAAAATACAGGCTGACAACACTCGAAACATTATATACCACACAGGCATCTCTTACACAAATATGCTTCAAGCAAAACACACTACACAAACATTGCATTCGTATAAGCATTACTGAATACGCAAACACACGCACACACACACACACACACACACACACACACATATATATATATATATATATATATATATATATATATATATATATATATATATATATATATATAACATAAAAATTCACTAAATAACTTACTGAGGAAAGCGGAGGCAATTTGAGAATGTTGATATCCATTTTTACGTGATACAGCAATTTGGCAAATGTATCTAGTGAAACTATGTTCTATTGCGTGTGTGTGTGCGTGTGTGTGTGTGCGTGTGTGTGTGTATGCACGCGCAAGCCCACACGCATGCTCCCCGCGCAATAGGTAAATGCACTTATTTTGTGGTCCCTGTACTGAATACAGGTTATGAAAGCTATGGCAAACTACCAAACGTACAGTTGCCTAGTTAAACAAACACAACTGGCCAGCAAATGATGGGGGTGGGTTTCCATCGTACCTTACACTTTAAACTTTGAAGGATACGCAACTAACTAACTAAATACAGTCTCCATCTCTGAGTGTAACCGACAAGCAGTATGCAGTTTAATCATACAGAAAAGGTGGGTATGATAAATGAATGCTTGCATTTTCGGCAGATATATTAGAACAAACAGATAACTAGTCTGGTTCTACCGTGATTAAGGAAAGTTAGAATGTCTGTACCGTTAGATGAGATAGCAACACTTAGGAATGCCAGACGACCGGAGTCTTCAGAAAGTTCTGCATTAAACGAGAAACGCCGAATGGGGAGATTAATAATCGTGATTTGACTCATGTTCATTCATAAACTGAAGCCGCTGGCGAGGAAGAGAAATGACAAGTCTGAACCAGGTGACCCGAATATTCTCGTGCATGGTCTGTCTGCCATGGTTTAAATCAGATTGTTCTGATAAGACTAGAGCATTCAATGTTTTTTTTTTTTTTTTGAACTAGTAAATTGCCTTCATATTTGTAAATGAGCGCTTTTGTGAACACAGGTTCCACCATTGGTTGCCTCCTTGTGTAATTATTGGGATGAGACAGAGTAACTAATTCCTGTATAAACTTACAGAGAGATTGGCATGACGACGTTATTAAGCCGTTTGTCTTGTGCTGTGGCCGTTGTTCTACGCCACTTAGCTGCATTCAAAGTCAGCTGTGGTAAAGAGCATTAGTGAGCAATAGAACAACGCGAAGTGCGAGCAATAGAACAAATCAAAGTGCGAGCAATAGAACAAATCGAAGTGCGAGCAATAGAACAACGCGAAGTGCGAGCAATAGAACAAATCAAAGTGCGAGCAATAGAACAAATCGAAGTGCGAGCAATAGAACAACGCGAAGTGCGAGTAATAGAACAACGCGAAGTACGAGAAATAGAACAAAGCCAAGTGAGAAACAGATCACCGTGGTCCAAAAGAAATGGTGTAAATGGGAGGGACCACAGCATTTGGTAGACATTTAATTGTCAGAAGAGAAGCAAGACGAACTTATCATTTACTATAACCGGCATTAGTGTTAGAATTCTGCGCTAGGAGTTGAAGGCGAAGAACAGACCTATATGAAAGTATCACGAGTAGCTATAACGACTAAAATATTAGCAAAATTACCCAGATCGAAAACGCTATGCAAATGTTGACGAAACGGCATATCAACAGGCCCTGATACGATAACAAAATAATTAATAACATTTATATAGACCTTCAACATTGATGCTATGGCAAACAAAAGTTATCACATACACAATATAGACATCCCCAGGCATTAACAAAATCAATCTTTATATCACTGGTGAAGAAATGAAAAGCTTTTTACTTTGAACACCAAAGTGAAATTTTTCTTAGTGAGTCGTCTAAGATACTTCTCTGCGTCGTTTCAGAAAGAATTCAATATAAAACATACAGATAATTCTAGATGGAGTTCAATCTGGTTTCCACAAATGCATGAGCACAAACGTTAAACGTTAAATAAGGATGTCATTGAAACATAGGGAACTTTGTTGAACGATAACTGGGCATTTTCCATAGACTTTATGAGAGCCTGTGATTGCGCGAGTACAATGTGAACCGCTTAATTTCATTGCCTTCGTAGGGTACATCTGAGATGACAAAAATCTGAGGCTCATTGTTATTATGTATTTGAGACAAATTGAAACAATTACTTGTGTAAGCTGACTACAGATCAATACATGAGAAATATGTTCAGACGTGTGTCTTATTATTCATTTCCAACTTGTGTGCAGAAAATAACGAATGTAAGGATACTGGAGAAAACGCTTGACTGAATTATAACCAGTCATTCCCATGTGGGATGCAAATTTTTCGTTATTGTGAAGCCCCATCCTGGCTCTTGCAAGGTGCAGCACTTTAGCCCGGCTATTAATATGGTATAATGGCTGAACGAGGTTTCACGGGTGATCCTCATCCACATGGTAGCACATTGTGTCATCGGGTGTTTAACGCCTGTGTGATGACTTAGTGGGGTGAAATGTACTGCTACCAGTAAACAGAAGACCACAACAACTATACTGACGATGGCACTGTTACTGACAGAAAGTGAGCTACGGTTAACTTAAAGGACATTGTAGGATAAGTGCCTGCGTGAGGTGCAAAATTCCCATTTGACAAGTTTTTAATATACAAATTGTGCCATGGAATTTAGAAAGTATGGTCACATTTGTTTTCCTCCGCGAATAATGAAGATAGAAACATGAAATTTAACAGTGCTCACTACAAGAAGACTGGTCAACAAGCAATAATCTTGGGGGAGCAGTGCTTACTACAAGGAGACTTGTGAACCAACATCGAACTGGGACGAGCAATGCTCACTACAAGAAGACTGATGAACTGGCAATGAACTGAGGCGAGCAGTGCTTACTACAAAGAAGACTGGTAAATGAACATCGAATTGGGGCGAACTGTGCTCACTACAAGAAGACTGATGAACGAACATCGAACAAGGACGAGCAGTGCTCACTTCAAGAAGACTGGGAAACGAACATCGAAAAAGTGCGAGCAGTGCTAACTGCAAGAACATTAGTGAACCAACATCGAATTGGCACTAGCAGTGCTCACCACAGGAAGACTAGTGAACCAGCAATAAACTGGGGCGAGCAGTGCTCAC